GTCAGAATGCCTGTTTTTGTAGGTATTTTTGATCTGTAAAACCACCTGTAACTGATTAAATGTAAGGTAGAGCTGTTCAATGTCATACTGTGGAACATTCCAGGCAGAGCAATGATATTGCCATAGAAACAAGCAGATGACAGACCCCGAACCAAAGTTACATAGTGCACCTTTAAAATTGTTAAAGCTTTGTGTGTACTTTTTAGGCAGCAGCAAAACAAAGAGCTGGAGATTTAAGACTGATAGCTCACTTTAATCCCGGTTACCAATATTTTGATCATTCCTACTTTCAGTCTAACTCTTTTCTCTGACTTTCCATAGTAACTCAAAGATACATATTGTGCACTTAAGTGATCTTTAAAATCATTATAAGAACTTTCAATTAGACTGGCGATGCGTGTGTAACAAAAGGAAGCTGTGTGCACAATAAAATAAATAAATGTGTTTTTATCAATGTGTTTATGTGTGTTTAGCTGTGTTGAGAAAACTATTGTCCTTTTTTGTCCCAGTCAAATCAATCCTTCTTTCATTTTACTCACCAGCTTTGTGTAGAATCTCACATTTCCACTAAACGTCTGTTTTCCCACCCGGGACATAGTTATCAGTTGTCAATAGACTTACTCTGTTTCACATTGTGCTGAATGGTTTAGGGAAAATATCTAATTTTCTCACAAGCATTGAGATTACATTTGCAATTTATTTTTAATGGGAGGATTATGTTCAGAGTGCTCATATTAAACACACCCAGGAGCATTAAAATTTGAGAAAAGACTGAAATATGAATAGCTGAACTAATACAAAAATCTAATGCATTTCAGTTACACAATTATGGAGGCCTAAACTACAGGGTTACAGGTTTTATATAGACTAAGACTGGATATTTTGTTGTTTGCATGCTTGTTCTGCATTTTATGTTTAGGCAAAACTATTATTAAATATTTATTTTAATAACAAAAGGTTTAATATTACATATCTCGAAAGAAGAGAAAAAATGCAGATGTTGTTGAAATTTTTCAATAAGTATTTAGTTTGGCCCATGACTTAGTCCCAGTTTTTAATTTTGTCTCTCTGTGAATTTGAGTTTGACACCCCTGAGTTAAATAAAAAAAAAGTCAAATGAATGAATTGTAAAGCTGCGAGGTCAGATGATTCCACTAAGTGAAACCAGCTGATGAATCAGGCTAGTTAAATATTAGAAAAACCTCAAAAATTCTATAGAAATTATAGTTCTAACAAATACAAAAAACTAAATAAAAAAAATGGCTGACTACTCAGTTACTAAAATAATTATTAGTTGGCGCCCAAATCGCGTGACTTTAATCATTTCAGTCTCTGTTAATTGCTACCATTTAAAACGTCATTTAGCTTCAATTGCGATTACTCTTGCACACCGAGTTCACACTATTGGATTTTGACCTTTTGGAAAACGTCATTTTTTTTGTGAGATGAGATTGCAGTGGATTGACAAAGACATATCAATTGAAGTACTTGTGATTGCAGCTCCAATGCAATTATCCACTTATCTTTCACATTTCATACCACTTGGGTCATCACCGCGTTCAGACCAATCTCTCCTTTCAACAGGTCCATCATTCTTCTGCTGTCCGTCCTCTGCTTTGGTTGCTCCATCTTTCTTCTCAGTCCCTTCACCTCCTGACGGCAATATTAAGGCTTGTGATAAATATATACTGGAACATCCCTCTAGGCCCCTTTTTCCATTTGCAGTACTTCATTTTGTTATATTGTGTTTGTCAAATTTGCTCCAGCTTCTCTTGCTATATCTTCTTTGGTAAAGCAGTGGGGAATATGTAGCCATTGGAAAATGACATGCTTACTTTGCTTCTCTCAATTGCAAAAAAAATTGTGTAAAAAATAAACCTATTGTAGTTCAGTAGTCAGAATAGAGATAATTATAAAGATATTTGGGAGGGATTGGACACATTCTTGCTCAATCAAAAAAAATCCACTATACGTCTCTTCCCAGTGAAGAACAATCTTTCTTTACTTTACAGTCGACTGCTAAAGCAATTCTGAGCACCAATATACAGTATACTTTTTGTAGTGAAATGTACCTTGCACGTTGCTCAAACAAACAAACAAATAAATAAATAATGATTAAAAATAAATAGTGTACAACCCTTCTGTAATTGATGCAACTACTGCTTCTACTGAAAGTTGTAAAAACAAGTTTTAATTGTATTTACATGTATACTATTGAACTTGTAGCTCTTATATTAATTATTTTGTTAATTTGTGCTTTATAAACCCCAATTATTCCATATAAATTATCTGCAAAATGAGTGTACAAGATTATCATCCCTTGCGACTGGATTATCACAATCAATATAAATAAGCACTTATGATTTAATGTGTTTGTGCTGAGCCTGTAATTATTATTATTTTTTTCTAATCTTTTTTTGTCAGGGGCAGTCAAAGCAAACCAGGCAACCCTCATATTCCTTGGTGTATCCTTAATCCATTACACCACTGCAACCCAATTGAAATGTGTATTAATAAATGTATATATTTATTTGAAAGTATATTGTTAAAGGTACACATACAATACACTGATTATAGGCTATAAATAATTAATTTGTTTGCTCTTGTTAGGTTAAAACCCATAAATCTTAATACAGACTATGATTTGTGGAAGTACCTGCCCTTTCATCTTTCCTGGAGCAGTTTTTGGGTGGAGTTTCTCAGAGCAGCCTGTTCTCCTCCTCTCACCGTCTCTCCTTCATCTGTGAAAAGACATATTGGTATTTATTACATCATTCACAGCTCATCAACATAGTTACATACTGTATTAGAGAATGGAATAACTGCATACACTAAACATTTATCTTGGTAGAACACTGAAGCTTATAGACACCTGACTCACGGCGAATAAGCGCTCGCCGTTGTCCTGTACATGATATGATTTGGTTTATTGATGTCTGTCAGGTTGCATAATCCCAGGCTAGCTTCACCTGTCATAAGGAAACATCCTAATCCACTCACACTCGATTTATTGTGTCAGAGATTATCTGATTAAACTGACTGAAAGGCGACATCATATAAACCAAGGAGGCATCTACAGTAGTGTAATTCTGTGAGATTAAAAGGTAATGGCCACATTCATCTGAAATTATTAAATCTTAAAAAGGTCGCTTCAAAAACAGCTATTTCATTTTAATTAAAAGTGAATTACTTAAACTTTTACTTTGCCATGTCTTTCACTAATCTCAATATACCCAATAATTTAGCTCAGAAAAGTGTTATAAAACCACGCGTTAGGCCATGTTATAAAAAAAAGTTTTTCCTCAACATTACAAAACCATAAGTCGCTTTAAATAACTCACTTCAACTACACTTACTACATACTACTGCAGTGTTATTCTGTTTAAATGCTGCTGTTTGTATGGTTTATATTTTGCTCTATGTCTATTTTTACCCCTTAATTTAAACATTTTTATTTGATCATATATTATATTAACAGAGGTGGGGACTTGCATGTAGTGACTTGGACTCGAGTCAGACTTGAGTCACTATTTTTAGGACTTGACACTTGACTTGATAAAATGGACTAAAACTTGGGACTCGACTTGGACTTGAAGGTCAGGGACTTGGGAATTGACTCGGACTTGATCCCTGTGACTTGAGAAGACTTGACGCTTCTCCTAAAAATACATATATGTTTTAGAAAGTACTTTTCTCTTTACAGTTGGTACATGTGGTGCTTAATTTTACAGGAGCAAACTGGAACATGTTCCCCTCACTTCTGTTTGTTAAGTACTGTGATGCGGTATCCTCAAATGTACTACAATAATATACAGTACAATACATTAAAACAGAGGGAACTACACAGAACATGATCCTTCTGTTTCAGTACAGACTTCTTGACAAAATAACTAAGCACTTAAATTTCAATTCTTTCTGTTCTGACTGTAATTATTCACACTCAGATCTTGTCAAGACCCTTAAACAGGGAAAAAACTCTTATATAAATACTCGTATATAAATATACCATGCTTTTTAAGTACAGTTTAGCTTATAAATCATAAATTGCAAAAATCTAATCTATATTTGGTACTGACTTGGACTTGACTTGGACTTATGGACCAGTGACTCGAGACTCGACTTGGACTTGCCTGTATTTGACTTGGGACTTGACTCAGACTTGAGGTCAAAGACATGAGACTTACTTGAGACTTGCAAAACAACGACTTGGTTCAACCTCTGATTATTATTACTTGTTTTACGTCGCAAAGTAAGTCCAAAGCACGTTCCTAGTTTGTGAATTGTGTTCACTGACAATGGGCCTCAGATTTTGATTCGTGGCGAAAGGTCAAATAAGTTCACAGTGCGACACAAATCCTAATCATAAATGCTCGAAAACATACAAAAAATATTAACAATTAAAAGGTTATTAACAACAAAATGTCAGCCCTAAATAAGACAACAGGGGCCTATTTAGAAAATCACTTCACTCAGGTGGGGACTCTTCTGCGCCTTCCAAAATAACCACACTACTTCCTGTTCCCGAAGGCGCCGCGAGTCTTGGCACTTCCACCTCTTCACCATATGCCGCAGGTTTGGCGCTAAAACTCTGTCACAAAGCCTTTTATGTGGTTCTTTTCTGTACTTTAAGAAGAAACACATGTTGAGCTAAGTCTACCTGGATTTGAGTTACATAAAAATAAATGTAACGCGCGTAATATTTGCCATAAATCCGCTAAATTGCCGTAAACCCACCGTGTTCTTCTGATGTTTACGCAGCCATCACAAAGATACAATAAGATAGCAAACGCGTTATGAAATGATTGCACAGCACGTATGCATCTAAAATTATCATTAAATCGTGTAAGATGATTTAAAAAATGTTATATTTGTTGTGTCGGGCATCTTTTTAGCGTCTCCACCTGTTTCAAGCGCGTCTCGCTGATGGCACAGGAGCGTCCAATGAGAGCGCGGAGGCGGAGAAAGAGGCAGAGAAGTTGGAGGAGAGAGTGAGAGACGGATTTGGAGAGACAGTGAGCTGCTTTAGATTGACTGGAAGTCGGTGGAGACACATGCTAAATCATAGACATATTTGCTTTGTATTTCCTCTTTTCCATCCTCGCCTTTTCCGCCGTTTTTTTCTCTTGCCGCTTTATGTTGCCACAAATTTATTCCATCCCTCCACAGGTTGGTCGATTTAATCCAGTCATCATGGATTATTTCTCTGTATTGTAGACATGTAGATCGTCACAGAGCGGATCGAAATGGGCACGGTCGATTGATCCCTATTTGGGAGAGAATTACACAGATTGCGCGTTACGGAGTGTGGGAGCGCCTCGCACATCCAAGACAGCAGCGCCGAGGAGAAAAACCTGTGGAGGATCTGAGCGATAGGAACCACAGACGGGAAGATGTCAACACGAAGAAGAAAAAGTCCTGTTTTTTCCAGCTGCCGTTGACTGATGACAAGTAACCTGGGGACCGGGACTGGGCGAAACGAGGTATGAAGTATGTTTGGTCATAGGGAGGAGCGACTGCCTGTCAGATCTCACTGAAAGTAGGTTATGTTTTTGGATGAAATATATTGTGATAAGTTAACTGTGCAGCCAGCCCTACTCCCTGAAGTGTGTGATGGGAATTATTATTTTTACCAGTGCTTGTGTGCCTGATCTTATTTGCATGCTGTAATGCCAGAGGATTTGCACCAGCCCCCAGCTAACAACAATGTAACACAGATGACATTTTATGGCATAGATGGCTGGGAGCAGAGTGGGATGTAAAAGACAGTGCAAGGGCAGTGTACTCAGTGTAGCACAGTCAGCCCAGTGAAGTCAGATGTGACTCAAAGGAAACATATTCTACCATTATGAGCTCTCATTATGTGGATAGACTGTGTTCAGGTCAAGTCATTTGCGTTATCTCTGCCATTTGTGTTATCTGCTTTATGTTTTGTGTGTAATTTGCTCTCTGCACACTCTTATTCTGTGGCCCTTGTTGTGCAGACAGGTGAGAGAACCATGGAGCCTCCCCCCTCACTCAGCCTGGCCCTGTTGGGAGGCAGTGAAGATGAGGACCAGCGCTTCCTCCTCCCCCTGGGCAGTTTACCCCATCCTGCCAGCGCCGGCAACCAGCCAGGATCAAACCACTCCAACCACATGGGGGGGTCAAGTCTGGACCGCCTGAATGGCAGCACCCCGTCCCCGTCACCTGCCACACCCAGCTTACCCCCCACATCGCTCCCCAAGCTCCCTCTGTCCTCCTCTGGAGCTCAGCCTCTGCCCCCACCCATCCCGAATGCACTGCACCCCACTAGCACCCCGTTATCGTCCTGCCTGGGCTCACAGCACAGCCTGAGCGGAGACAACTCACCTGTGTACAACGCCCTGTTCTACTCCTCCCACTCGCCCTCCATGGAGCGAGAGAGGGACCGGGAGAGAGAGAGGGAGAGAGAGAGGGACAGAGAGCGGGGCTCCAAGCACAGACAAGCCAGTCCTCTGGTGCACCGCAGAGACAGTAACCCTTTCACCGAGATCGCCATGAGCTCTTGTAAGTACACGGGGGGAGTTATGAAGCCGCTGAGCCGACTTAGCGCCTCCCGCAGGAACCTGATAGAATCGGACAGTAGCAGCGAGACAAAAGAGGCCGGGGTTTCTGCTGTGGCTGGAGCATCGGCTCAGGACAGACAGAGGGACACCCCTCACTCCTCCTCTGTGGGACAGTCCGCTACCCATCAGCCCCCTCTCCAGAGCCCACCAGAGATTGTGATTTCATCCAAAGAAGACTCGCCATACCTCAGAGCTGGCTATGACATCACCGATTCCTCCTCCAATCAGATGTCCATTTACCACCAGAACCACGCGCTGGTGGAGAGCAGGCGTGCCCAGTCGGGACGGGGCAGCCGGCAGGGAGGCATGGGGACTGTGGGCACCGCAGCCCGGGGTAGCACCTCCAAGGCTTCAAAACGCAAAAACCAAAACATTGGCTACAAACTGGGTCACCGCAGAGCACTGTTTGAGAAGAGGAAGAGGCTCAGTGACTATGCCCTCATCTTCGGGATGTTTGGCATCGTTGTCATGGTGATCGAGACGGAGCTGTCGTGGGGCGTGTACACAAAGGTAAGGAGGCGGGGCTGGGGGCAATTAGAGGGCCAATTGACAGACAGCTCACCTTTGCACTAATTAGTCTTTCACTCTGGTGAAAATAACACTTCCTCTAACAGTCTTTCAATGTAGTGAATGCAGTTAATGGCACTCTCAGTGTTTGGCGTAAACACTTAAGTTTCCACACTACGAGTTTGTAATGAAAAACCCTGCTGCTGCCTTACCCTAAATGTTTTAATTTACTCAGTGTTTTCTAAATGGCTGCTGATTCCTCTTTGATTAAATTTAAACGTGACTTGCTGTTTTGCAGCTGTGTCAGAATAAGGCCATTTGTCTTATCACCCACATTATACACATTCATGTGTTTATCATTTAGCAAAGGTATTATCAAGCATAACTTTGCATACAGAGCAAGTTAGGTATATGCAGAATCGATTTTAGTCAGTGACTACGATTTGGAGTTAGCATTTTAACTCCCACTGGGATTTTTGAGTTCAACATATGAGCTAACTGCGATGCTTAGGAGTTAGGGATTTTGTTGTGTTTATAAGTTTAGCTTCAGCAAGTTTCTTTCACACATCTATCTGAGACAAGGCTGCGAGTTACAGTTTGTTGTTTTGCTGTTTTGAAAAAGTATTCTCATTTAGGGAAGATTGATATTGACAGAATCATTATCTCAATATATTTGTATTGTTTCCCCATATAATACTGGATTCTGTTTTTTACAAGATAACAGATATTCTCTATACATACAATATAGCAGTGTTGTTGGTTTTATCTAAATATCGCCATGCCTTTTCACATTATATGCTATGTTTTCTATAGTTGAAGCCTGTAACCATAGCAGCGTGTTTTTAGTAATTATTGTAAATTGTAAGCTGAACTGCATTTCTCTTTGACAAGTTAATAGCGCATTCATGATTGTGTTACCATATTGAATTGGTGGGAGCAGGCAACACAACAGCAGACTACATTTGGAGGGTTGTGTCTTGTATGTGACCAGCCATGTCAGTTGCTGCTTCTGGGTGATGTAATGCAATGATGCAGAGGACAGGGGGCCCAGATTATCAGTGGGAGGCCAGGATCTCATTTGTCTGTGTAATGGGGAGTGTAATAAGCTATATCGTCCTCTGGCTGCAACTGTCTGTTTATTTTTGCTGTGTGTATGTGTTAGTATTTACATATTTATGGGGTCTTAAAATTCACTTGTGGTAACTCGAGGGCAACAAATTGAAACCACAGTTTTTGAGTTGTGGACTTTGGGTGACGGATTTAATTAGCTTTTAATTAGGATAAGGTCAGTGTAAGCTGTGGTAAGCATGCAAAATGGATGGTCTGTGTTGAAGCAGGGCTGGACAATTAATTGAAATTGAATCAACGCCCAATACTTGGTGTTTTTAGTGTATTAGCTATTGGCCTTAAATCACCATAGGCTGTTTTTTGTTTTTGTCAAACTGCTGCCTAAAAAATACACACAAAGCTGTGTATTATAACACTTTAATACAGAGGTAGCAGCACAAAACATGACTACACAGCTGGGTTTGTGGTAAAGGGCTTGGGATGAATCTGTTTCCGTTACATGGGAAATTTGGGGGAAATTATTGAAATCATATTGGCCATTGGTTGCTCTGTATTCTAAACCATTGGTCTCCAACCTTTTTTCCTCCAGTGAGCTACCTTTACCAAAAGAAAATGCCTGAGAGCTACTAGTTTTAGCAGTCCTGAGAAATTGAGTATATACAGTATAAGAGCCTCAGAAAGCCTTAGGTGAGGCACAGTTCATGGCTATAAAATATAAACCACTATCCATTTATTAGTGCACAAAGTTAAGTATCAAAATGATACATGTACAGTAGTAATACGCATTAGTAATAGGCATTTAATTGTAATTCAGAAATCTATTGGTGAGCTACTTGGAAAGTGGTGGAAAGCTACAGGTTGGAGATACCTGTTCAAAATAATTGGACATGAAAAAAAAAAAACATGTTGTAGATCTCTAATGTTTTGTCATGCCATAATGATATTATTGTGATATTTCAATGCACTTTTTTGACATGATAAGTTTAAAAAATTAAAACATGTAACTGTCAGTTTTCTAGTCAAACGTGTAAAAGAAAACCTTAACCAAACACCAGTGGTGGAGTTAGCAATTTGGGGGCCCCAGGCGAACTTGAGCCTGGGACCCTCACTATAATGCACCTTTTTTCTGTTTTTTTTTTTTTTTTTTTGTATATATTTAATATATTTATTGTCTGTTTTTCCCCATTGTTCTTGAGACATGCACATCTCTATTTATTTGAATTATGTTGGATTGGTCTTATTTGTTAGGTTGCCTACTTGATAACCAGAACTGAACGTAGTTTTATTTTTTTGCTATTAAAATTACATTTTTGTTTACATCCATTACAATTTTTTTTTATGATTATTGTTTATACGTAAACCACTCTCATTCAGTGTCATCTTGAAAGAAAATCAAATTGCTCTGATGCCTCTAGTAACACTTGGTTAGGGCCCCTCTAGGTTTGGGGGCCCTCGGCAGCCGCCTACTTTTGCCTAATGGTAGCGCCGCCTCTGCCAAACACTGAACCAAGACAAAAACAATGCATGCAGTCCTACTGTGAACTGACGCCTGATATTATAACATACATTTCAAATCTACAGTATGTGGGTAATTATAAGTGCCTATGGTTTAGTGCCCTACCTTCTGAGACACATAACAGAGGACTGCCTTTCTTTAGCTAATAGGCTGGAAACATTACTTCCACTTATGTAACTTGTGTACGCATCACTAATCATGTGCCATGGATCTACAGTGTGGGAGAGTAACAGGTAGCCTATTAGTTAAAAAGCGTTGCCTCTCCGCTCTTTGTAGTGCATACTCATTCTTGTTTTTAGAAGCACAGTTTTTAATGAATTCTCTCCAGCTTGTCAGTCTTTATCTCTATGGCTGCCTGCATTCACACTTTGCACACGCCACATAAAAACTGGGACTAAACTAGAACAAAACCTGGACTAGAGCTACGAGGGATTTCTTGTTATGTTTTAGTGTTACAATATTTCTGAAAAGACAGATCAATTATCGTTATCACAATTATTGACACAATAACAAATGATCCCTAATCTTTTTTCATTCACACTGGTAAATGGTCGCATTTTTATATCGTGCTTTTCCACCTTCAAGGCACTCAAATCAGTGGACAAATGCTCTACCAACTGAGCTACTGCTGCCATTGCCAAATTGTGCACTAACACTTCCTACGTGACCAGCTTTATCAAATCAAACTGTAAATGTGACAGCCAGAGAGAAAAAAAAGGCTATTTAAATGTAGGTTTTCTTTTTATATTGGGTTGAAAAATGGCTTCATTTTGTTTTATAGAGGCAATTTTCAAAGTACACATTTTAAACAAAAGACACAAAAAGATGGAAATATCAATTTTCAAAACATGTTTGTACATAGCGTTTTTTATTCACAATAAGATATTTTGTTGTTTAAGGAAATGATGGTACGTCAGTAATTGCAGCCTTTGTGACTTTGCTAATTGCGTCTAAATATTTAAATTGCGATTTTGATTCCATTGTGATTAATCTTACAGCTCCTCTCTTGACTACCCCAAATCAACCATGACTAAACCGGAACTGGAACAGGATCAAACCAGGTCTATCAAACCAGGAGCAATCAGGACAAGTGTGAAGTATCCTGCATGTGTTCCTCTGATGTCCCCTTGCTTCCTCACTCCTGTGCTCCTGCAGTGGGCGTGTGAGTGGGGAAGTGTGATCGCAAAAGAACAGCCGTTATCAGGCCAGACAGAAAAGTCCAGACAGAAAAGGCTGTTTAGAAGAGGAAAATATTTCGTTTTTAATGGAGGGCTGGGCGATACGACAAAAAATGTATCACCATTTTTATTCTTATATTGATAAATAATTTAAAATTTCCCCAAAAAATAAACAACAAAACTTTTAATCATAGTCATTTAAAGGTGCAATATGTAACTTTACATTTTAATTTGTGGGAACTCCACGTACTTGTCTGCATGGCTTTACTTTACTTTACTTTACTCTACTTAACTTTATTTTACAGTGTCTTAGACTAGTGATTGGCTGTAGACCTCTCGATTAAAAAGTATCCATTGACGATTAGAAACAATTTAATCTCAATCAATAATAAATTCTTCTAATTGAACAGCTCTTTTCTAATGTTCTGGTAATACGTTCGTTGAGTCAAGAGACAATGAATAGACACTGATGGACAGGTGTGAATTGGAGGCAAAGCGCACGCCCCTAGCCTTGCTTTATTGATAAATCGATACTCATTAAGATGTCTTGTCAAGAGTTGATGAAGAATAGCATTTAAAACGTCTCCTTTAATTGTGTTCAGACAGTCGGACAGTCCATTTCCATGTGATTACAAATGTAGTCTTCAAACCACTGTTTTTATCTAGTTTTATGGTACAAGCCCTTCATACACTGGCGTTCCAGCAGACAGTTCGAGCCCTCACTTAGATAATTGAGGTGGAGAGAAGCCTGCTGGTTTGTTGTGAAAAATGGATAAAAAATTGCAAGGAGGAGAGGCGAGTGTAAAAAGGAGAGACGGATGAGAAGGCAAAAGATATGACCAACTTGGAACAGTTCTTTAAACCTGTCCAGTGGGGAAGCCTTTAATGATTTATTCCATTGATTATTGATAATCGCACCCACGCACAAACCATCTGGTCCACCACTTTCGCTACTACTGCACTGCTTTAAAGTAGATGCTGCCCTTCAGAGGTTGTTTGTCATCCTCATGAAGTTGTGTTGGGAAAACTAATATGTGTGGATCACTTTTCATCAAGGGAAATATGTAGGTGTATATATATAGCATGTTAACAGCTTTGTAAGACAGTTTAAACCATAGCTGTAAATGCCATTGTATTTCAGGGCTGCACCATTGTGAATTGGATTTGTGATACATACTGTATGTTTATATATGCACATACATGACAGGGTGGACAAAAGTATCGAAAATCAGATACAAATC